AAGCGTATGTAAGGTCTAAGTAATTGGGGATTTTCAGTCAACAGAACAGGTCAAACTTGTATTCTTTTTCCGGATCAAAGGCCCAGACTGGGATCAAAAACTCTTTGAAGATATGCACGTATATGAGATAAAATAGTGTCTGACGTCGAGAGGTTTTGTACTTTGTGCTTCGTTTCTGTCAAATGTTGTATAGAAGTACAGACACATGCCGTCATGAAGGGTTTCCACTAAAGTTAAAAGTAAAAAAGGATCAAAGGGTAGTGAAGGCGATGAAGAACTTCAAACTGGAACTATTTTCATGCTTTAGTACAAACTATGATCAACAGAGAAACCGATATACACGGGCACTTTTTTATATCATATACAAACTAGATAGAATACTGAGCCAATGGATATGCATGTTTTTATTATTTTCATGTATTCTGCTTGTATAACAAATAGGTGTTTATAGTGATATGAGGGTGTGATGTAGTGGAGAATATGAGAGAGTATAGGTTGCTCAAAATTCAATCACATTATTATTCTTGTTCTGATATTGAGACTGAAGCCATAACGACTGTCAGTGCCAGACTATGTTGTGCTGCTGCACTTGGATGTATCACTGGTTTTACCATCACCTGTGACACATCCATGTACAGCAGCACAACACACACATGCTCAAAGGTTTGATTTGTGCCAGCTGTGTAGAACATGTGTTCTGGAGATAGTCCAATCTGGAAAATAGTTTGAAATAATGTAGTATTTAATTTTCCATCTTATTATATTGGGAATAAATCACAGAAGATTTCACATTCATTTTTGAGGGATTTGATGACTATCAACGTCCAGCACAGTTGTGTCTATGATCCAATAAGATCAGTTATTTGGGAGATTTACTCTGCTAACAGACCCCACTTCAGAAAATCTACAACATATTTTGAAGATTGTAGACAGTGGCTGTTTACATCTACAATCCAAACCTGACAAGTATGTATGCTGTCTCATCCACATCTGGATGTGCCACACCTGTGACATGGGACGGATTTGTTCATTCCAATAAATTTAGACACATTTGTGAAACGTATCTGAGAGACCATACGTAGAGTTTTATATTTTTTGGTTGAACCCATGGAAAATGGGAGCAAAAACAAAGTGTGCATGTACCACAGTTTGAGAAACATAATTTCATCCAATGACTATTGTGTGTCACGTGAGCTCAAATCTGTAATTCTGCACCTCCTTAGAGCCTTGTCCAAATCACTGACCTCATGTAAGTCTGTAAACACAGGTGTGGTTTTCAGAAAGCAGCCGTCTCTCAGCAGGAGGACGTCACAGTCAGAGTCAGGGACTAAATTACGTTTGTTAGAAACGAGCGGCGGAGTGGAGCTGAGGGAAAGTCACACGACACATGTATCTGTCAGGCGGCTGTGCCATAAGCCTGACACCTACAGTACATGTGACAGCTTCTGTATACAACATGCTTTGAAAAATTAGATTTTGGCCAATACATTTTTTTCCTCAAGTTCTTTTGACTGTGCTCTTTTATTTCCCCCTTTTGTTAATATCAAATTTACTACAAAAATGAATTCATGGTCTACTCTGCACACATGAGTTCAGGTTAATATGCAAAAAAATATGTAAGTAAAAGAATCAAGCCTAAATCATTTTTATAACAACATTATAAAAAGGCCATTTCATGGCGTGATAAAATGGCTGTAAAAACATATTTATATATATATATATATATATATATGTTTATATATATAATATCTCCTGCAGCCATGTCCAGAACAAGGCTCATGGGCCATTTGCGGCCCTCTGCCTTGCCATCACAGTCTTTGAGATCATAAACACCAGTTCACAGTGTCATCCAGCCAACTTCAGCTCCACCAATAAGCAAGTTATAACTTGTATAGCTCAGAACATCTGGAGTTCAGCAGTTGACTATGTATGTATCTACTGACATTTAATTTTGAATGAAAGCATTTATGTAGATAGCCTGATGTAGCCGGTGAGATGGAAAACATTTGTCAAAATATGGACGTGTCATACTTCATGAACAGCCTGAATCCTGTCAACACAGTTTTACCAACTCTGATGAACTAAAGTGGCTCTCTTACTAAAATGCTTGTGTAATACAAAATGGTGTGTGTGTGTATGAAATAAGATATTCCTTGATTTAAAAGCCGTTTTGAGCATGTATCTGCGGCAAAGCGGTTCAAAGCCTCTCTCTTCGATTGCGGCTCAGAGCTGACCTACAGATGTAATTACAAAACAACAGTATTTGTCACTCACAGTCACATGTGGAGACTGATGTTTAGTGTGTTGTGTGCTGACAAAAGTGGAAAAGCCATGTTGTTTTTGCCTGCTGACACACCCAGGGGACAACCGCTTTAGCCCAGAACCACAAAAATACTACATCTCATTGTACGACACGTGTAAATGTGTTCTAATCCATCTGCAAAAAGCGGCAGACCTCTGATGACAATACACTATTTACAAAACAGATCATTTTAGTAATAGCAGCAATAATGAGAGTAATGAGAAAACAACAAGACCTTTTTTCTATATAATTTATGATCATTTCCTTCATGAAAACCAAAAATACAAACAAATATTGCCACTCAGAAAGTAATAAAGTGTTTTCAAGTTAGCTCACATTCATTAGCACCACAGTCAGGAGAAAGAAAGGGCTGGATTTGGAGCAGACAGGTGTTATTTACACACATTTTTGTCTAAATGTGTTATTGATTTTTAAATAGTACGAGGGAAATTGTGGTAGATAAGACATTTGGTCATGGTGTACTTTTGTAAATCCAGCCCATTCCCATAAAACATACACAAACAAAACAATAGCAGTAACCTTTGGAGGGTCCACCTGCCTGTCTCTGGGGAGATGCTACCTTGTCTGAAACGCTGTCTGGATAAAATGTTATGGCAAACTCTATTATCCCCATATGGACACTGCGAAATATGCAATGAACACGTTTAAAGCTTGGGTACCTAACTTTCTCTTGACGAATAATACATATTTTTTGCCTGTGTACATTTTTAAATAATCAGGTAACCGTATGCTATCTTTGTGTAAATGGAGAACAGGTTATTTTTTGCATATTTGTAAGAAAAAGCCATATTAGACTCTTTGAACTGAGAGCTGATTGGCTGAATGGGGGCGGTCCATTCATTGCCTGAAAAAACTGATCTAAATATGTGACAGAGGCAAAATATGTATGTGGAAACTTGCGATAGAACCGAATTGTTTTGAGATCGAGGAATTAGTCAGATGGGTTTTATTACATAGATCATTTTTTGTGTGAGTTGAAAGTTAGGTTCCCCTGTTTTAATTCTCAAATACAGTTCCTATAATCTCAGCAAGGTGGATCTGGTTAAAGACATAACATCTCCATGGAGACAGGCGCCATCCAAATATAACCAGAAATGTCATATAGTGCACATATTAATAAAAAAAGTCTAATGAAAAAGAAGGATCAACGCAAAAAAAAGACCAAAGATACAAGAATACACAATGATACTCCGGGCTTGGTCTCATATGTGCTTCAGGGTTAAGACATAAATAATAAACTCATAATATTTTACTAAAATACTTTGTAGATGTAGCAACAATGGCTCCATGACACCTGTGTTACTGATGATTCAATAATATGTTCTGTTGGAGGGCAGGTGCCATAACTGAGCCATTTTTGAAAGAAATGTTGAAAAATAAATTGTCCAAATGTTTTTTTCTGGATCAATATTTGTTAATAATTAGATTCACAAATGCACCATATTATTTTCATGTTAGAAAGGTCTTTTTTATACTTGCCAACATCATGTATATGTTTTTTTTTCTATTTATATTGCCATCACTTCTTGAATCCATTATAATAAAAGAATTAGAGCATAGCTGATAAGTACTTAAAGATGTGGGACTTGGTTTTATGAGTTTGGCCAAGGAATTAGAGAAATTAACTCCAACTAAGACTAGAAATCTGACGTTTGACATTTATTTTAAACTACAGGGTTGTGATGTCACATGAAGGCAACTTACTATTTGGGCTTAAAGATACCCAAAGACAGTCTTCTAACAAATATTTAAACATAAGAAACATGGAATACTGTTATTAAAGGCCCTTACATTTACTTATTATTTCATTTCAGATGTATGCAGCTAAAATCTGGAACAGTTTTCCTGAGAAAGTGAGACAGCCTGCTACTCTAACAATGTTCAAATCCAAAACAGTTCTGCTGTGTATGAAACTGAAAGATTTTTCCGTCTACTCCTATTGTTAAAAATCACTATTAGTTTAAAAAATATTATTGTTATCAATTCCTTTCTTGTTTTGAGTCACCCTGTCTATAAACGGTGCTGTACCAATAAAATATCCTGGCCATTATTAAGGATATGATTAGTTGCTTTTGACAGTTTGCAGCTCACACTCATTCCTCACACCCTGAATGTTAACGGCAATGACTTTAAGCGCTTTTCACAACTTTGCGAGACCTGACAACAGTTTAACCATCTCAATAAAAGCAAACAAAGGTAACGAAGCTTAGCCACATCTGCATGCACTTCCTGCTTCACTGCAAAAACAATGTTCTAAAAATAGGTTTAAAAATGCAGAAAATACTTGATTTTAGGTCATTGTTTTGCACTGAGGGAAATTTTGAGGACATTTTTTTTACAGGTTTTTATGAAAATCCTTCAAAACATTGGTGAACTTTTTACAAAAATGGCAAAAAGATAAACACCTGTATAATGTATAAAATGCAGCGATCAAAGGCACAATGGACGGATGTGTTTTTGCTCTGAGGACTTGGACATGAGCATCAATGTATTAGAAATGGGATTAACCCTTGATCCATCTCCACAAATACTTCAAAGTTTTTCAACAGCAACTTTCTTTTTTCTTTTTGAAATGAATGTGAATCCTTGACATTTCCTGGAAGTGTGGTTGCGGCGGTCTAGCAGATGTGGGCGCAGTCAATAAACATGTCCCGGAGAGAGACCTTAAAACATTGTCTCAAATGTCCCAGCTGTCACTAAAGTACTGGTCCTCCTCTTCATCCAGCCCGTCTTCCATAAGGTCATCATCCTCCAACTCATTTATTTCCTCCTCGTCCTCCTCTTCGTCTCTTTGGAGCTGTGCTAGCATCGATTGTAGGGAGGATTTCACGTTCTGAACCTCCTTCTCCAGCGACTGTGCGACCGGAGTCAAGGAATCTAAAAGAATATGTCTCAAACTTTTTGTTTCATTAATTTTCAATGTTGTTTTTTTCACGATAGAAAAAAGTCTTGGTTTTAATTATTTTCTTCTTTTTCCTTTTTTACATGTATGTATTTTATAATATTACTATCCTTTTAGAAAGTTTCGCTAGTTATGTAGCTATAATTCTGATCATGAACTTTTTGTATATATTCTATGTACTATTAATCCTATGTTGTATGGATGTGTGTTACACCAGATGATTTATTATATAATTTATAGTTTGCACTGGAACTGAAAAACTTCACCCAAAAAACAAAATAATAATTATTAAAAAGTCTTTAAAGTAAAAGTTAAAATGTCAGACCACATTATTAAATAACATGTTATCTTGAGCATACAAAGATTATTTAAGATTGACTTAAGCGAGTTGACTGACTGAATGAGGATGGTCCACTCTTTTGTTCTCTTCCAAAATATACATGTGTGAAAACTGGTGATAGAACCAAACTGTTTTGAGAGCGAGAAACTAGTTACATGGGGTTCATTGCATAAATGTTGGGTTTGAAAGTTAGCTCCCTCAGCATTAACAAACCAGTCTTCACCATATTGTAATAAAACAGGCTATAATCTGATGATAGGCCCAGAGTCAGAACTAAACATGGGGAGGCTGCTTTTCAGATTCATGCTGCTAAAATCTGGAACAGTCTTCCTGAAGATGTGAGACAGGCCTCCTCTCTGACAATGTTTAAAACCAGGTTAAAGACAGTTCTGTTTAAATGTGCATACAACTAGATTTCTTTTTAATGTTCTGTGATTATTTATGATTTTAATGCTTTCTTATTTTGTTCAGCACTTTGCATTGCCTTGTGTATGAATTGTGCTATATAAATAAACTTGCCTTGCCTAGGCATTTTGCTCTCACCCAATATTGGATCCATCCATCCATCCATTTTCTTCCGCTTTATCCGTTGCCGGGTCGCGGGGGCAGCAGTCTAAGCAGAGACGCCCAGACTTCCCTATCCACACACACTTCCTCCAGCTCGTCCGGGGGGACCCCAAGGCGTTCCCAGGCCAGCTGAGAGACATAGTCCCTCCAGCGTGTCCTAGGTCTTCCGCGGGGCCTCCTCCCGGTGGGACGTGCCCGGAACACCTCCCCAGGGAGGCGTCCAGGAGGCATCCGGAACAGATGCCCGAGCCACCTCAACTGGTTCCTCTCGACGTGGAGAAGCAGCGGCTCTACTCCGAGCTCCTCCCGTGTGACTGAGCTCCTCACCCTATCTCTAAGGGAGCGCCCAGCCACTCTGCGGAGGAAGCTCATTTCGACCGCTTGTATCCGCGATCTCGTTCTTTCGGTCATTACCCAAAGCTCATGACCATAGGTGAGGGAGGGAACGAAGATTGACCGGTAAATCGAGAGCTTTGCCTTTCGGCTCAGCTCCTTCTTTACCACAACAGTCCGATACAGCGACCGCATCACTGCGCACGCTGCACCGATCCGCCTGTCAATCTCACGCTCCATTCTTCCCTCACTCGTGAACAAGACCCCGAGATACTTGAACTCCTCCACTTGAGGAAGGACCTCTCCACCCACCTGAAGAGGGCAGGGCACCTTTTTCCGGTCGAGCACCATGGCCTCAGATTTGGAGGTGCTGATTCTCATCCCAGCCGCTTCACACTCGGCTGCAAACCGTCCCAGTGCATGCTGCAGGTCCTGGTTCGTTGGAGCCAACAGGACAACATCGTCCGCAAACAGCAGAGATGAAATCCTGTGGTCCCCGAACCGGACCCCCTCCGACCCCTGGCTGCGCCTAGATATTCTGTCCATAAATACAGTGAACAGAACCGGTGACAAAGGGCAGCCCTGTCGGAGGCCAACATTCACCGGGAACAGGTCTGACTTACTGCCGGCAATGCGAACACAGCTCTGGCTCCGGTCATACAGGGACCGGATGGCCCTCAGCAGAGGACCCCCGACCCCGTACTCCCGGAGAACCCCCCAAAGGACACCCCGGGGAACACAGTCGAACGCCTTCTCCAAATCCACAAAGCACATGTGGACAGGTTGGGCGAACTCCCATGAACCCTCGAGTATCCGATGGAGAGTATAGAGCTGGTCCAGTGTTCCGCGACCGGGACGAAAACCACACTGCTCCTCCTGGATCCGAGATTCGACCATCGGCCGTAGCCTCCTCTCCAGTACCTTGGAGTAGACCTTACCGGGGAGGCTGAGGAGTGTGATCCCACGATAATTGGAACACACCCTCCGGTCCCCCTTCTTGTAGAGAGGGACCACCACCCCGGTCTGCCACTCCATTGGCACCGCCCCCGATCGCCACGCGATGTTGCAGAGACGTGTCAGCCAAGACAGTCCTACAACATCCAGAGACTTTAGATAATCAGGGCGGATCTCATCCACACCCGGAGCCTTGCCACCATGGAGGCTACCAACCACCTTGGTGACCTCAGCCAGGGAGATGGATGTATCCGCCCCAACATCCTCAGCCTCTGCCTCTGAAACAGAGGACGTGACGGGGGGATTGAGGAGAACCTCAAAGTATTCCTTCCACCGCCCGACAATATCCCCAGTCGAGGTCAGCAGCTCTCCACCCGCACCGTACATGGTGTTGGCAAAGAACTGCTTCCCCCTCCTGAGGCGCCGGACGGTTTGCCAGAATTTCTTTGAGGCCGACCGATAGTCATGCTCCATGGACTCTCCGAACTCCTCCCAGTCCCGGGTTTTTGCCTCTGCAACAGCCCGGGCCGCGGCACGCTTGGCCTGCCGGTACTGGACAGCTGCCTCAGGAGTCCCCCGAACCATCATGGCTCGATAGGACTCCTTCTTCAGCCTGACAGCATCCCTTACTGCCGGTGTCCACCACCGGGTTCGGGGGTTGCCGCCGGGACCAGCACCAGAGACCTTGCGACCACAGCTATGAGCCGCCGCATTGGCGATTGAGGCAGAGAACATGGTCCACTCGGACTCCATGTCCCCCTCCTCCACCGGGACCTGAGAGAAACTCTCCCGGAGGTGTGAGTTGAAAGTCCGTCTGACAGGGGGCTCAGCGAGACGTTCCCAGCAGACCCTCACTATACGCTTGGGTCTGCCAGGTCTGACCGGCTTCTTCCCCTGCCAGCGGATCCAACTCACGACCAGGTGATGATCGGTTGACAGCTCCGCCCCTCTCTTTACCCGAGTGTCCGAGACACGCGGTCGAAGGTCAGATGATACGACAACAAAGTCGATCATCGACCTCCGGCCTAGGGTGTCCTGGTGCCACGTGCACTGGTGGACACCCTTGTGCTCGAACATGGTGTTCGTGATGGACAAACTGTGACTGGCACAGAAGTCTAACAACTGAACACCGCTCGGGTTCAGATCAGGGGGGCCGCTCTTCCCGATCACCCCTCTCCAAGTGTCACTGGCGTTTCCCACATGGGCGTTGAAGTCCCCCAGGAGAATAACGGAGTCCCCGGGCGGTGCACCGTCCAGTACCCCTCCCAAGGACTCCAAGAAGGCCGGGTACTCTGCACTGCTGTTAGGCCCGTAGGCCGTCACAACAGTGAGAGACTTATCCCCCACCCGGAGGCGGAGGGACGCGACCCTCTCATTCACCGGGGAGAACTCCAACACGTGGCGGCTGAGATGGGGGGCAATGAGAATGGCCACCCCAGCTCGCCGCCTCTCCCCGCGGGAAACACCAGAAAAGTGGAGCGTCCAACCCCTCTCAAGGAGTTGGGTTCCAGAGCCCAAGCTGTGTGTGGAGGTGAGGCCGACTATCTCTAGTCGGTATCGCTCAACCTCCCCCACGAGCTCGGGCTCCTTCCCCCCCAGTGAGGTGACGTTCCACGTCCCAAGAGCCAGCTGTTGTGTGTGCGGACTGGGTCGTCGAGGTCTCCGCCTTCGACTGCTGCCCAGTCCTCTCTGCACCGTTTCGCCACCACGGACCCCTCTGCAGGTGGTGGGCCCACAGGAGGGACTGCCCACGTCGTCCATTCGGGCTGAGCCCGGCCGGGCCCCGTGGGCTAAGGCCCGGCCACCAGGCGCTCGCCTACGAGCCCCGACCCCAGGCCTGGCTCCAGGGTGGGGCCCCGGCTGCGCCATGCCGGGCGACGTCACTGATTTCTTTTGAGTGCTGTCCATGGTGTCTTCTGGACTGCTCTTTGTCTGACTCGTCACCCGAGACCTGTCTGCCATGGGAGGCCCTACCAGGGGCATGAAGCCCCAGACAGCATAGCTCCCAGGATCATCCGAGTACTCAAACTCCCCCACCACGTTAAGGTGGCAGTCCAGGGGGGAGCCAATATTGGATGGCACAGCTTAATCAGGACAAATGTATATTGAAAAGAAGTGAATATATGGAATAGAAAACAGTACCAACTATATTCATTGGGACGTTCTTATCACAACAATTTAAGATGCAAAGAAAAAGTGTCCATTCACTTTTACCACATTATAATCCCCCCAAAAAGTCAAATTCAAACAAAGAGAAAAGAAACAAAGCAAGTCAACATCAGGCTTAATAATATATGACCAAATAACCAAGACTAAGGATGTATTTTTAGTCTCAGTCTCTCAAGTCCCACCATTTACTGAATATGTAAATGGAGCTATTGATTGCGCCAAGAGCCTTGGTAAAGATACATAAAAGCAGATTTCTTCCCAAATAAAGTTTAGTATTGCACTTTCAAGGCAACAGGAAATGTTAGTATTCTGCTCGCGCTTGCACCAACAGGAAACAAAAGTCAAGCGTAGATGGTGACTAGTTTCCGATGTGCCTCTTAAATGCAAATAAATATAAGCCAGGTGATTGAAATGGAGCTATTGATTGCGGCGAACAAAAATCAGGGCACATTTTGACACTTGTGGCCAGGCACGGTTAATGGTAATGATATGGGACAGCCCAAAACCATGATGGAGTTATCAGCCGCCAATTCCACCTCCTCAAACAGATTACCAGGAAGCGCCATGGTCATAGACAATTTAACCCCGTGT